AAGGAAGGAGGAAGAGGCCTCAGACAAATTGAAGTATCCTGGCAACATAATGTAGTCGGGATTGGGAAGTATGTAGTTAGTCATAAAGATGATTCTCTAATGGGGATGGTCCTTAGATTTGACCGAAGAATGGGAAACAGAGGCATTGCAAGTATAGTAAGAAACATTGCGAAGAAAACTATGCAAGACAGCCAGAATAACACAGACACGGAATGTCTAATGCTACTTAACATGAAATATGAGACAAAAATGTTAAAGAAATCGTGGATAGACCAACCAATTCATGGAAAATATTTAAATAGAATGGACATGGTGCAGATCAATAAATATCAATTATCTTTGGGCTTAAAAGTGGAAGAATGGTGCCAGGATCGGAAGTAGTTGTAATAGTTGCACAAGATCCAGCGTTGAGAACACGACATTATGATAAAGCGGTTCTCAAAATTTCACAAGATGATAAATGCCGCATTTACCAGGAATAGGTAAAAACCATATATCATATCGTCTCAGCTTGTACAATTCTAGCAAAGACCGAAAACATGAAAAGACACGATAGGGCATGTGCCTCCACTGGCAAATCTATTCTGCCCGCGAAGTTCCAAACACATGCTCCAAGTAGTACGAACACTCACCAAAGCCTGTGACGTCTGTTGGACTGTGTACAATATTAGACTAACAAATTCAAGCTGATTACACGATAGCGACAAACCTGATATAGTTGTGGAGGTTTTGGAAAAAAAATCGTTTCTAGTTGTAGATGCGGCTGAACCATGCAATCAAAACGTCGTAACTAAGGAGGCAAAGAAACGTCTTAAATACAAGAGTTTCGAAATCAAGACCAGCCGAATGTAGGGCGTAAAAGCACAGGTCGTCCCGATAGTTATCGGAGTTCTGAGATTTGTTCCGCAAACTTTGTGTAAGAACTTGGCTAAACTCCCACGTTATTCAAAAGTCGACAGTCCCTAGATCTGCTCCTTAGGAAGTTAATTACAACTTGAAGACGACTTTGTAAGAATGCCAGTGACATTCTTGCTATCATTTGGATTCCACTCACATTACAATTTCGAATATGAAGTTTTTGAAATGGTATGTGAACAAGAGAAATGTTCTATATGCTATTTATACTGTAGGGTACAGAATGTGAGAATTGTTTCTGCCTTAATAACTGAGGAAATACATATACATTATATTTCAGGTTAGAATTAATTTTTGCACAAAATAATCTGCATAGCGCTATCAGTGATTTCATTATGTATTAATAGAATAATAATACAGTAAACCCTCGTTAATATGAATACAAAGGGACTAAAACACCAAGAGTTCGTGATAACAGGGAGTCAAATTTCATTTCTGGGAAACTGCTTTTCGTACATATTAAGAATTTACAGTATATAAAGACATACGTACTACTGTATAATATTTTGTATATCGTCACAGAAACACTATAAGATATGACATTCTCCTAAATCGGCAGTGTTACCAGGTACAATACATCAATTCTTTATGAGTTTGTGACAATAGCACAGAAAATGCCCTCGAGAAGGAAATTACTGTACTATAACGAGAAAGAAATGTACTCGCAGATCATTTGCTGTTGAAAAGTTTCTGATATTATAGAACAGGATTCCTTGATAGTATATTCATTACTGACGCGTAGGTTGGTGCGAGGCGTCTTTTAGGCGGCGGGTTGTTATTGCCCTACAAGTAGACTTCGAGTTGTGACTCGGACTGATATCACGAGACGAACCTCCTCCAATACGAAGCGCATACGCGTTTCAAACAGTGCACTTCTAGGTTGAAACAAGCGTGTAGCGGCCTAGTGGACAAAGAATTCCTATGGGTGGTATACATCGATGTTTCTGAATAGTTTGTGAATAAACTTTGTATCTTCTCGTCTCTTTGTTGTCGAAAACTTACGACGCTCCTAGAGAAACCTAATAAAAAATGATGGGAGCAATTTTAAAAGTTTATGTTAATTGAAAAATGTAAAGACGCAACGGATTAAGAAGTAGTTCGTAATTCGTGCTAAACAAAACTCACGTAGACCGATAAAACTTCCTGTTCGATCTTGTACGTCGCTGCCAGGACCGAAATTTTGTTCATGTTAACCGAATGATCATCTTAAGAGAGTTTGTGTTAACAAGGGTTTATTATACAATATTTTAAAGGTAATTCTAAGCGGATAACGCCTCAACAAACTGCGGAATGTTCCTTCCTAAGTCTGTTCACACTCCCATTCTAGGACTCTGGTGTTAGACTGATTCCCCGCTGCTATACGTGTTCCTCATGAAAAGGCGACGCCAGTACTCTGTGTGTACGGATGTTGGCTAAGGTCCAAACTGAGATGTAGCGCAATCGGAAAGGACGAACAATTGTTTCAATATTTTTTTAAATGCCGCTTCCGAGATGACTAGCTGATACTGGCATAAGATCACTATTTAGGCAACAATAGGGAAAACCATTGTAGGCGCGTTGCCAAGCAACAAAAGAAAAATACTTAAAGATTAATTTTGTTATCGATGTAAAAAGACAAAGACGTTTAATTAATTTTCCTTCTCAGCTTCTAAATGTGTTCAATGGCTTTTTTTAAATAAATAAAGGAATCACAATATTTCCATTTTAGAAAACTGTGATTATTTGTATTACTTACCAATAGGGACTTCAAGAGAAAAATATCCAATTGGTGCCTATTCTCTTGTTACAAACCTAGGAATAAAAATACAAATTTTAGTAAATCATAATTTTAGAATAATAACAATTTAAAGTTTAATTTCCGGTATACAGATAAGGCGAAAACAACTATTATTAATGTACAGCAGTTCATATTTCGGATTTGTTGATATTTTAAACATTCTCTCTATGTTATCACCATTTTCAATAATAGCACAATCTTAAATTCAGTACAATTACATTAGCTGTGAAGCTGCGACTCAATTCTCAGTCGGTGGTGGATGAAAATTGTAAATGAAGGCTTCCTCATGCACTACATGCAAAAACTGGTCCAGTTCCGCCAGGCGCCCCTCTGGACGTCTTTCCGCTCTCCTCCAATCCCCGTGCACGCGCCACCCTTCCCTGTTTCTTCCCTCTCCGAGCAGAGGGCCGATTTCAGGTAGAGCGTTTCCTTCCTCTTTTGCTGAATATTGTACCGCCACTGCCTACAATAATGTCCGTTTGAGAGCGCTTGAAGGATATTTAACGAATTAATAAAGTATTTGAAGATGTATATACGAATATCAATTATTTCAAATATTTTTCAACAGTGTCCAACTTTTTTTTCATTAATTTGAAATGAACCATCCACATACAATTTACTACATATTTTTGTGACTGTCGAACACTAAATGTGCTTCTTGATTATAATTAAATATTTAGGATTCTGTTGCCTTGATGATAAAGTGTTAGTATGCCTATAGTAAGAAACCAAGCATGCCCAAGAATTCGAATGTTCATTCTATTTATCTCCATAATATCATGTATTATAAATTATATATCGTCTCGGTCAGTAACGGTCTTATACTTCGCGAAACAAAATAATATTTCAATGAAATCTTAGAGTTCAACTTAAATGAAGTATTCAAATAAATATACTTATTAACATGAAAAGTTAATTGACTAAAGTGTGCAAAGTTAACGCTACAAGTTACTACAATTTACGAATTATAATATAGCAAGAAAGATATATACTTATTGCAGAACGTTTGATTATTTAATAGCCTTTCGAACATTGTTATAGAGCTAAATACGCCTTTTTGCTAAAAGTTGGGCTTTAGCGCTATCATTCTAAAAGTAGGTGCAGTGAATGACTAAAGTGTTAAGAATAACCCAATCTGAATTGCACCTTCTTAAAGTATTGTTTACCTTCAGAAAGATGCGCTCTCTTAGCCAGTGATCAGAAAACGCAAACGTGAGATACGAATTACCAATTTCTAACTGCCGCACGTAATGGATGTGTCACGTTCGTACATCGTACTAGTGCATCCAACACTGACAAGCAACTTCTGATATACCTAACGCGATGTATTTCCCAAAGGTGGGAAAAACTGGTACCCTGCAACTTATCCTTTTCTACGGAATCACACATGTGTTACCATATACTTGTACAACGCATTGCACCAAGAGCAATAGCCGACTTCACTTGTTACAATGGGCCGCAATGGAAACTGAGACAGACATAAACAGGTTTGAGACTGCTGGCCTTTTCCCTTCCCGGTACTTCAAAAAGATGTACTCCTTTATCCTGTTTACTAAAAATGTCTAGAAAGAATATGTTAGCACTAGAGCCGGTTTCATTATATATGACACGGGAGAGAAGCAGTATTTATTAAAAAGACGATGAATTTTACATCTGATTAGATTCTGGACGCCAATATATGTCAATCGCATCAAAATATTACCTATCATTGGAACAAAATACCACCATTCATCAAAAATCACCATAAAATATCTACCATTTTATATCTAGAAGTATATTGTACTATTCGCAAAGATTTCTGAAGTTATGAGCAGAATTAATACTTTTTTCGACACATTGTTTGTCTTTATGTATATTAATTCATGTTACTAATTTTAATACCCATTCTTAAATAGTGATTGTTCTCTTTAGCCTGATACAGTGTTAATATATATAGTGCTTTTGTTATTTTTTTGGTTTGTAAATAATTGGTAATAATGTTCTTTCTAATACGAATTCTAATTTGTGATCTGAGAACCGTACCGTACTTTTTAATCTGTTTTTGCAGTAAGAAATAAAAATGTTCACTAATATTCTGAATACTGTTAATTGTCAATAGGACATTTAAGGAAACGAGTTATCTCGATATGTGTGAAGATATTCCCTTATGAAAACAGAAACAAAAATTATTTGCATGCTCTATTAGCAATGCGATAATAACGAAATAGAAGCATATACGCAATGTTTTATGTAACACAAAATTGCAGCTTAAGTTTATTTCCTGAAATGCAATCTTTATTTTCCGATATGAGCAGGTGGCACAAAATACTTCCATTCTTTTCTGGAATATTATTCCGCAGTCGTCTGAAAAAATATACTAAATATTTGATGCAAACGATAGTTCAGACAGCGAAACGAATATTTTCTTTAAAAATTCTTGGTTAAATTTAATTATGCCGAATGCCATACTTTGTACTAAAAAATATGCATTTATGCTCACAGAAATTTTTTCGAGATTTGCTACGAGAATTCTCAAATACAACTGTAGTTTCAAAAATTAAATTAATTTATTATCATGTTTATTTTCGATTAATTTCACATTGCCTTCGACTTTCGTTATAGAAAATTTCCCAATAAAATATAAAATAAGTACATCAACTATTTAGTATTGGTAATGGTGGATTTTAATTTTTATCTAAGAAATCAATGTAAGAATAATGGTCATATTACTGCATTAATTTACTATTCATTATATTCTTATTAAAATATATCAAATATAAATCAAATGGGTCATAATATTTATTACTTTCCGTATTATGAAAGACACAGAGATGACATTTCAACAATCGATGGTGTATACAGGGATTACTTTGGTACAAAGTATTTGTACTTTTAATTACGAATATTTTGGGTAGACTTTGATTTTTGAAATGTAAAGTATAGTAAATTATGGCGTTGCAAGTCACAGAATATATTTTTATGAGTAGAAAAAATTGGATATGATTCGTAAATATATGCAAATTATATTATTTCATTCCAGTAGGATACTTCTGCTCTTTACGGTCGATGTGAAAGATACACTTATGTACTTCAATAGGAAATGGGGAGAAATAAAGAGACTTGACGATGTGGAAAACTTAGAGAGTACAAAATTTGCTACTTGTGTAAAACGTTTGTAATGCACGCATTTTACGCTTCATTATTTATTGGCCATTGGCATGTTCTCTGACGCCAAGGAGCTTAGCAACCAATTTCGCCGGTGTCGACCATGGGTTTGTGTTTTCTTTTCAAATGTATGGAGGAAGTGGCATGTGCATTAATTTGTTCGTAATATTTTGGTTCTATGTTAGTTTGCAGTCGGATCGTAGGAGTGTTTTCCATGTATCTCCACACTGTTACGGAAGACAATTTTGTCTCTGGTGCTCGACACGGTTGAAAGGAAGAAACCGAAGTATAAACAAGCATTGAACAGTTATATTAACATAAGAAAACGCATAAAGACATTAAATAATCGTTGTAACACATATACATGCGAAGTGAAATCGCATTGTGTAGGCTTCCGCGGTCCCAGTCCAGATCTTGGCAATCCGGGTGACACCGCTTCGAAGGCTGTTTATACCTATTGGCTACCTACCTATTGGAGGAAATAAGACTTGAAAAACAAAGAGTAAAATAAATATGTGAAAGAATTGAATTATGTGGGATTCCTATGAAGAATAATGGTCGTGACGACTAAGATATCCTAAACAAAATAATCAGACATGCAAGTTATTAGGACATTTCATAAAATGACATGGGATGTGGGGCATAAAAATAAAAACAAAAGTGTATGTTTAAGTGTTTGAAAGGTAAATGTTGAATTTCTTGGTACGACCTATAATCATCGTTAAAAAAACGCTAATTCACAAAGCTTTGTCTGATGTGCTGCAGAATATGTAGTTTTCATCGTCTTCCTCCCTGACGCATTCATCCAAGTTCACTATCAGTACATTAATCTAGGAGCTCCAACATCGTTTTGCACAATTGCTCCTCTTTATCGTTTGCATTTGTAAGACAAGTACAAGTGGGAACAACTAATATTTCTCATTCTCAGCATAAACGAGGTAAACGCTAGGTCAATGCAACCGCTTAAGAAATTCAAGTATGTCGTCACCGGTCGATTTTCAAATGACACAACAGTGTAGCATTCATTTCGAAATATATTGCCTGAAAAGGGTCAAGAATAGTAGATCCATTCTACTTTTAGCAACAAAACGGCAGGGAAACGATAAAGACCGGCAGGAAACCTCTGTGATGCGACTAAAGTTGGTTCAAGAAAAGTTTGCATTACGAAATGTACTCCTCAACTGCAATATTTGCGAGACCTCATTGGACACTACCTGTGAATCACTAAGTCATCCCTGAACCTAGTAAACCTGTTATAATTATGCATTTCCCTACCCATTCAGCTAAGAAGCGACTGACTCAGGCCGTGGGAGCCTACGTTCTAATTTACCAAACCTTATTTAAAGAGATGACTTTATCAAGTATGCAAGAACGCCGTTTATTGCGCCAGTACTCACATGTTGGATTCAGTCAAACAGGCACACCGTATTTACTACGGCGTATGGGAACACAGTGCATAACTGAGGAACAGTGATAGAAAATTTATCAACACCCTTATCAGATACCGTTAGAGGAATAGAAACATTGTTCTAATTCGTAGAAGGATACGATTCCTTTCTTAACTAGAAAAGCAACTTCTGTTTGATTTTACCCAACGACTCAAGTGAATAAGATTTTCTACAACCCATTTTATATAACCTAAAGTTCTCTTTGAAATTTATAAGCTTTCAAACAACAAACAAACACTTTTGATTGATAAAAGTAATATATAATGTGATTAATTTCCTCGTTAAGCTCAATCTTCATAAATATCTGTAAACTACTGTAGGTGTTCATGTATGTTGAAAGACTCAACTATTGTTAATCACTGACACTCCAAAAATGTTAATGTAAATGTTGAGATTGAATTGTTTTAACGATATCACCTCAGCCATATCTAGTACATGTTACAACAAAATAAAAAAAACAATAAATAAAATCCTTTAGATGCCTATCCCCCTTGGTAAATATGTCTGTGGTAAGTGTTCTGTGTAAATATATGTGATAGTATATGTGTAAGTATTAAAACAGTACATACACAATAAAGTATATCACCCAATCACTGCAAAATACTGCAGCAGAGTTAATGTCTGTTGCTCCATGAATTATTCTTCTTGAGATGCTAAATGTTTACATTTAATTTTCATATACAACTCTATGTTTTATACTGCTATTACTACTTCAAACCCAGGTCATGTGTCAATAAAAGAATACCTATTTGATGCCTACCTCCAGGTCAAGTGTCTGACCTATCCATAATAATGTATAGTATGTATAATAACCTCCAGAATATAGGAACTTACTACTGAAATACTAGTAAATACATGTGATTTTGTATTACAAGCTTGTAGTCGCTCAAGACCTACATGTTTATGCGACCATTATAAATTAAAGTTAAAAAAGTTATCTTTGTTTAGTCTTTTTTTGTGCATGTGGAAAAAAATACAAACGTAAAAGTGACTTTGTATGAGTTATTTCTTGCCCGTTGGTGCATTACATTTTATTTTATTTGACAGTTGTCATTGGATTTTTCCATGAATACTCGCAGGCTCTAAAAATGCTGTATCGCAAATTGCGAGCAAAAGAAACACAAAAGTCTTCAAGATTAATAGTAAATCAAATTGTGTGAGGCATGGCTGCCATCGTCGAACTCAGAAGTTACTGGGAACGCGTTACTTGGGTGTGAAGTCACCAGACCTGTTGGGTCATAATTGATTTTTTTGCTATCGTTAGAAGACATAGAACAGCAGCATTCCGGTGATGCTGGGTAAGTTTAATGCAAACTCATCAAATGAGCTTTAAAAGTTCTTTAGAAACTAAATTATTCTTATAAATTACTCTTTGACTTCTAAGATTCTTCTAATTAAGTGCCTCAGCCAGAAATCACACCCGTGTCGTCTGGTAGATGCCCAGTTGCTCAACTCACTTGAGCTATCGTCATCACTTCGAACATCCTTAAGAAGATAAGAGCTCCTGGTAGGCATTATTAAACACCTGCCCGTAGTTGAACGTTTTAAAATTACGTACGAATATAATAACGTTTCACAAGTGTCCCCCAGGGGTTCTTAGCTACGTAAGATTGTACGAAGAGTTGACTGTCTCGGTAGCTCCAGTGATTAGAGCAATTGGGCGCATGTCGGGACAACCAATTTGATCTCCGGTTGGGGCAGTCCTTTCTTTAAACATTCAAAATGTACTTATATCATTCTTAGTGAATATGAAGTTGCAACGTAGTTGGCAATTGCGAAATGGTAAAACGCATTACCATGAAATTGCTATACTTCCAATTGTGAACAGGTGAATAGCATATGATTCATTTTTATTACTGTTACAAACCGTAGATATTATCTCTAATACATGGCATTTGTCAGTTTGGAATTGCCGTGGATGATCCACTGAGCATTTATCGTACGAAAGGTTCAAAACATAGTGCCTGGCTTTTGCAGAACCAGAACCTGTCAAATGCGAAATAATTCTAAATAATAAAATCATCGAACAAGTTATATCCTTCAATTACTTCGGCAACAATATTGCATACCTACGAGAATGTGATCTTGGCGTAAAATTAAGTAAATTCCAGAGATAAGCGAAACAGGAAAACGCTTATGAACAAAACACAATGGAAAACTCGGTTATACTTTTATGTAACACTGGCTGATCCATTCCTAATTTACGGATGTGAAAATTTGTTCCTAAAAAGAAGAAAAAAGGAAAAAAAGAAGTGAAATGAAGTTCCTGGGAAGTGTTGCTAGTATTTCTTATTAGATAAAAAGAATGTGAATATACTATGTGAAATACTATATGAAATAAAATATATGAATATGTGATCTAAATATATTTAATCTCTTAGAAAGCGATTATAAAATAAAATAAAATTGGTTCTCGGATATACCAAAAATAGATGATAGACTACCTAAACAACTCTAAATCGGTCACCAATCGGCAAAAGAAGAGTTAAAGTACCAAGGGCATGATGGTTAGACGACTTGAACATCGAGGATGGAACAGGGCTGCAGCCCACTCCCTGCCCTTGATAACGAAGGTTAAAAAGAACAATGCAGGCATTATTCACATCATTTTTAGACCCAATTAGGGTCAATAATATTAAGCACTGTTTGTTTTGTTCAGCTACTAATCCAAAATTGACCACTAAGCGATCCATCACTTGAACTGTCATGGAATTTGCGATTCTAGAATAATTTGAAATTAATAGGTACTCATATTTGTCTTGTGACATATTTTACAACACAGGTCTCTAATTTTACTTCTGTATGCTTTTATTTAGTATGCTTGGATGTGGTGATTTTTTTGCAGGACTTACTGTCTGGCACAAAACAATTAACATTGAAAAGACGGGAAAACTAGATGACCATATGAAGCAATTATTTGATGGATAAAATAATTTCCCTTTTCAAAAGTTGAAAAACGTGGTATTGAAGACAATAATGCAATAATAGTGTAAACGTACTACATTGTTACTGTTTCTTATAGATTGGGCTTGGCCTAAAAACATGTGAGAAATAGTGAAATAGCAATACTTAAGTTCAAACCATATCCATTGGAAAACCATCTGCAAAAGAAGTAGTAAATTTACACAAATAATGTCAGATTATTTGTGTAAGAAATATAATGCAAAATCGTCCAATTGTATAGCATCTACGCAAAGAGAATTGTATCTAATAACGAAAATTGAATAAAAATAGTATTTTAATATGAAAGCTTGATAATAACTATAGTCCGCAAGTTCAAGCATTAATGTTAACTAAAATGGGCTGACAAAAAGGCATTTATTTTTACTAAAATAGGCATTCAAAATAGGCATTTATTCTAGCTAAAGTAGGGGTGAAAAAAGGCATGCAAACAATGAAAACTCACATAAGGAATTGTACAAAATTAATAATTAAAATTATTCTCTCTAAAATGTTCATGAGCACTTCATGTGTAAGAAAACGGTCTCTTCTTTGTAATCTTGATTCTGCATAACCATTCGGTACGATGGTTACGAATTTCTTTTACTCGCGACGCTGTCTTTTCAAAATGCTGTTGTGAACTTCCTTTTGAATCTTGAAATACCATAAATGAAAATAGAATTATATTTTTCGTTCTTCGCACTTATGTTATCGCCAACACTGAGAAGAGTATACCATACATAGAAAGCTGTCCGCGAAAAGATCGGTGGTCAGACTCAACATTAGAATGGGAATGCTCGCGAGTGGACGAAGCCTGACGTCATCAATGAAGACATTAAAAACCTTGTTTGGTTTCATCTTCCTTCTTCATTCAGACTTTTCTCTCAGCGTCTGCTTCCACAGACAGACAAAATACGACCGTGCCTTCGAGTTTTACAGACTTGAATATCATGATCACAGTCGGTGCCAGGAGAAAAAATAAAGAAAATAATGAGGAAAAGGGCAAAAATTAGGCAAAATGTCTAAAATAGGCATCAAAAACTAAAATATGCAAAAAATGCATAATGAGAATCTTCTAATAATGAGGAAAAAGGCAGAAAAAAAGCGAAAATAAGGCAAAGTGGAAACTATAGGCATCAGAAGCTGAAATAGGGAAAAAAGGCAACATAAAAATTTCTAAAACAATCCCAGAAGTACAATTAAGTGATTATTATAGTTAAACATCATAAAATATTAACAACAACAAAAAGGCGTTTTGCTAAACTTCTGGGCTCTAGTAATAATAATCTAATATCGCACTACGTTTGATACAAACCTATTATTCTCTTTGTGTAAAGTTCAAGTACCTCACGCCATGTACACAAGTCTACACAAATAAAACTATGCAGCTTCGATTTATGTACTCTTCACTCCACAACTTAATTAAAATTAATGAATGACACACACGGCGTACACGATGCAAGTAAAAGTACATAAATAAACTTAGATGAAACGTAATTGTTCTGTGGCAGATTTACTCTTCCTTACAGATCATTTCCGTTTCGGAGACGAAGGCATGTTCATGTAAAATACAAATTACCAATGACAATTTTATATATTTGTCAAGGATCCATGTGTTTATTTGTAAACATGTTTATATTCAAAATATCTTATATATCATTGTAACTAAAGCATTACTAACTTCAACTGCAACTGATTTCTATAAGCATTAAGACAATCTATTTAATTGCATGGATGATCTTACCTTACTAACTTATACGAGGTATATAAGAACTTTTGATCCAGAAAATTTGTAAGAAAAAATAATTTAATTTCTAAATGATTATTTCATGCGGCAATGAATTAATCTTCACGTCTTTTATAAAATTAAATGCTGAAAATGGTACAATACCAAACGCTTTCTTGTATTATTGCTAATGGTTACGATAGAGTTTATTAAAATACTGTAGGTTCTATTCTAATAAAACTAAAGCAATTTCTTGCAAAATCAAACGATATAACTCAAACTTACTATAAAACTACTAATTGTGTGATGTAACTGTACTTAAAATGATTTAAAGATCTAGTAGTGAAAAAAATATTGTACTTTGAAAGAAATCTGTAGCATCAATATTTAAGGTGTAGGACAACATGGAAAAAAAAACAACTTTTTTCTAGTTTCGAATTTCCAGAGTTTTTAACGAAAATCGGACGAACGTCACTCATACGTTTCAGCTTTTCTCTAGTTTAGTAAAAAACTATATGTAAAAACTTTGAAACCGATTTTGAGAAAATCTTATTATTTTACCTAATTTTAGTATTAAGTTTTTTTTAAATTGTCTCGAATTAACTGAAAATTACGGAAATATAATAAATATTTTTCAAAAATTAGATCTGTTTAATGATCTAAGTTTGAAGGATGAATATCATTCAGAAAAATCATTTTCTGCAATAAAATACGGATAAAATAAAAAATGAAATATAATGACGTGATTTTTAATGGAAATTTTTAAAATGTTCTATGGGCTTTTTCAAGGACTGGCGAGTGGACGAACGGTCGGATAGACGGACGAAAAAAATATAAGAAGTTAATTTATTGCGAAATAATTTGAAATTTCATAAATCATTTTTTAAATGTAGATGTTAATAAATTTTAAAATATCCATTCTGCTTTAATTTTGTACAACCTTTAAAACGACCCAGAAAATGAAATAGCTGAAATGATGCGAATACAACTATAAAATCGGAATAATAATGTTATTCATTTAAGTAAAAATCCGCAAAGAAGCAAAATTTAAAGCTCATATTATAGTATTCTAATATTTATACTTTTGGCAATATGTAAATAAGAAGTCATTCTATTAACATACGATATTTTTAGTTATTTTATGATATTCAAACCAATACATTTACCTCATGATAAATAAAACGTTACACTTCAGATTAATCAGAATACTATTTACAATAAACGAAGAATCTAGACCGTTCAACTATTAAACGTTTACGAAATAACTGCATTTCTGACACACGTTGAAATGAAGATAAAAGATCATTACGCGCAGAAGTAGGTAGATATATAAATAATTTCACGTGTTCCAGAGCAAACTCGTAGATGTAGCAATTGTCACACAACACGGGCGGAATATTATTTCAATAAATATTCGAGGATCTGTGTTTGGATGCTGCGCGCAGTAGGGGCCGCTGCCGCTTCCTCCGGTCTCGACGCGAATTCATTATGCAGCGCATCTCAATCACAACGACGCCGATACATTAACATGACGTTGTCGGGGCCCTCGCGTTCTTTGGCTTTTTAATGCAACGAGCAGATGACACGCTAAATCGTGTTTCCGCCCTGCGATCCGATGCGCGCCTCCCGGACGGAAATCAGCACGGAACGGGCACCACTCACCCGCTGATTTACGTGGGCGAAAACTCGTTTGCTTTATAGCGTGTCGTTATGCGCGGCCGAACGTGAAATAATTTTCCGTCTTACCGAAACCATCCGAGAGGTAACAATTTACGAGTAAATGACCGGTTCGAATTCCACGCCCGCAAGACGTGAAGAATATTGCTTTTTGGAGGCCAATTCCGAGAAG